GTGGGTCGAGGTTGGTGGAGATGTGAGCGAAATTCTTATTATAATTAGGTACAAATTGAATAAGTTCTATTGCACATAACGCCCTCTAGAGACGCCATTCAAGCGAAATACTGCACAGTTATACTTTACTCGGCAAGACCATTCCAACGATATATATTTTGTATCAAGTCGCGATTATCACTTTGGCCACTTCCCTTGTCAGTGCCAGGAAGAGGTGATGCTGCAGGTATTCTGAATTGGCCTGAATCTAGATGAGCTTTTAAAGAGCATTTACTCCACATTCCAGAGTCACTGATACGACCATTAGTGCCAATATCAACATATATGAATCTTAAATTTGCATCCACAACAGCCATAAGAACTATACTAAATGTGCCTTTGTAATTAAAATAATAGGATCCTGATTGTAAAGGAGGATCAATTCTCACATGTTCCCCATCTATTCCGCCAATGCAATTAGGAAAATTCCACTTATTTTCAAACTCTTGAGCTATTACTTTCCATTCTAGTTCATTGGATGGAAATCTTAGAAATTCGTCTTTAAGTGCAGCAATCAATGCCTGGAACACTTCTCTAATTATTTTTGATACAGTGCTTTGACCTATGCGAAAAGACATTGACAAGCTTTCTTGCGTTTCACTTACAAGAAAAAGTGTGTGTGTGACACATCACTCTATTTAAATGTAAGCTCATGGGATATATATTACATGAATTCATAGAGCAAATTCAAGAAATACTTACCAGTGGCTAAGTGCCTTAAAGTAAGAGATAATCTTTCAGCAGGTGGAATACTTTTTCTTAAATGCGTATCTTGCTTTATTATTAAAGGTGTAACTTTATTGAGTAATTTTTCAAAAGTAGCTGTATCCATTCGAAGACATCTACAGAGTAAAATGTGTCTTGTTAGTTATTTGCTCATGACAATATTTCCAAATATATCATGTCATATACAATAGATATATTTTTTGTTTAATAAATATAGAATTGTAAATAAATATAGAATATACATAAATGTCATAAAATATACCTTCGAAACTTATCTTGGTCTTCTAACCAAAGCTCTGTGAATAAGTTATGGTGTATACCTTGTTCCTTTCGTCTACCAACCCAAGGCTTCACCCACATTCTTTTTCTAAATGTTCGTTTATTATCACATGCATTTATAATAATTGTTAACATTAACAATGCTGCGATTTTCTTACGGTGTTGAGAATAATGTTGACGAAACGTAACATTGTTCATCGTAAACATGATATAACCTCAAAAGTTTCTACGTCGGGAGTCAGAACTGCTCAAGTCTCAGGAGCTTTGTAGTGTAATTGATCGACTCTGAGTCAGCAGTCAGAGTTGGCAGTCGAGTCAGAGTCGGGAGCCTGTAGTGTGATTACGGCTTTACGCGCACGATCGGCGGGGGGGGGGG